ATATATATATTTATATATATATATATATATAAATGACGTTTTCAGCTCTGGAAACAGTTCTGCTGAAGGCAGCATTGATTTAATCAAAAATACAGTAAAAACAGTAATTTGTGAAATCTTATTATATATGATGTTTTCAGTTCTGTAAATCACAATGTTAAAATTCCCCCCAATTTCAGGTTTTCCAGGAATGTTTTAACTTCAACTACTTAAATTAAAATAAAAATTGCACATAGCACATCCTTGCATCTGTCTCCATGTCAGGCTAGGTTTCCGTTAACAAGGTTCCTCTTAACCCCTGCCGTACACACACTCACCTTTGATTAGCATAAGTCAAACCTCTGAGAACATGTGACCATGTAGAGGAAGATGCACACAAAAAAAGAAGAATTTGTGTGAGAATAACATAGATCTCTCTCTCTCTCTCTGTGTGGCTTTGACAAATGGAAGCTGAGGAGAGGAATCATATCCTCTTCATTAGTGCTCAAACCATGGTGATAGTGAGCTGGCTGGAGGCAGGGAGGGAGTGACAGGAAGAAAAAAGAGCCAGTGTGAAGGGACATAAATTAGACATCTCCCCGCTGTGCCCTCTTCCATGCACGCGCCATGGGACAGGTTCGAATTTTGCCTCACAAACCGCCTGTGCTAAAAAAAGAAACAAGGAAAAAGAATGAAGGAAAGAAAGGAAGGTGAGGAAAGATGGGCTTGTCACTACCACTCCCTTTGTCTGCGTTGGGAGAGGCCATCCACGTGGGCACTATTTCCCTGAGGGCCAAACCCCGTTGCCTTCCTCTCTTTCTTTATCTCTCTTCCTCTCGCTCCATCCCGTCACACAGAGCGGGACGCCATAATCTGGATCACTTGCTCAGCTCAGCTTGACACGTCTAAGAGCGCACAGATATTAATTGAAGCGATAAGCAGGATATTAGCTGGAGGAGAGTCATGAAGTCGTTGCGTTATCGCCACTGCTCTCATTGGTAACGTGGTGCTTTATGTGAGCGCAGGTGGTTATGTGTGTGCGATGTACTGGAAATATACATTTCACTGCATAATTGTGGCTTCTCTTTAGCAACCCTGCAGGAAAAAACAGGTCAACAGCTCAAGCTAGGTTTTGGAACCTCTTTTTTTGCAGGTAAAAAGTTGGCTACCAGCTTTAACCGACTTGATTTAGCAGGTTTTTATTAGGTTTGTCAACTACCAGTCCAGTTGATCAATCCAGTTAAACCATGTAAAACCAGCCACCACCTTTTGTGTACAATCATGTAGAGCAGGATTCTGGACCAATGAGAGTTCTCCATGGGCGGGGCTACACAGAAAAACAATTCAAAAACAGAAATCAAGTAACCAACAGAATGTGTTATTATTAGCTGATATCACGGTCAGTTAGGGCAAAAATTTAGATTCTTATGGAAGAGATTTCAATGCTTACAGCATCTCAGCTGGTTAGGAGACTAAGTTAAGCTGGTTTTACTAGGGTAAAGAAGATCATTGTCACGGTCAGTTAGGGCAAAAATTTAGATTCTTATGGAAGAGATTTCAATGCTTCTTACAGCATCTCAGCTGGTTAGGAGACTAAGTTAAGCTGGTTTTACTAGGGTAAAGAAGATCATTTCACCATATCAGGGCAAATCTCAGGCCTAGGCCATAAAAAAAAAAGGAAAAAAAAGATTGTAAAACATTAAAAAAAAAATGTAAATCTAAATAAATAAGAAAATAAAGGAATAACAGAAAACAATGGCAATTTCTAAATACACTATTATTTTTTTTTCTCTATTTTGTCATTTATACTTCTGTTCTGCTCCAGCTTCTGGTTTAACCCCAAAGCTCTGCACTGCAGTACTGTGAATATTGTTGGTTCGCTTATGATAAATTGCTTGTGATTTTCCTCATTTGTGAGTCGCTTTGGATAAAAGCTTCTGTTGAATGACGAAATATAAATGTTAAATGTACAATTAGCCACGTTACTGTATTACATTAATGAGAATGAAATTTTTCATATTACAGTAATGAGAATTTGAACATAAAATGCCAATTTTAATGGCCCTAAAAAAAGGCCTCTTTATGTGTAATAAAACATGAGCTAGACATTTCTTTATGAGATTCACCCATCAAAGGGATTCAAAAATCTTGTTGTTATTCATTTTCAATGCATTTTCTACTGATGCTTCAGAGGTGAATGAAAAGACAGCACTCGGCTTCCTCTGGAGCTTTAACACAATTTGAGTACGATGTGGTAAAGGCAGTTAACTCTCACTAATGTGTTTCATATTTCCGACAGACAAGTAGAAAAAAAAACCCAAGAAAGCTGAATTCTAACTAACGCAAAATCCATTGAGCGGATAAGGATGGGCGTGCGTCCTCAGGCAGAAGAGGAACGGTTAACGACATCATCTCAGCGCTGGGGTCTCAGTGCGGGTATTCTGCTAATGTAAACACTTTATCTGGCAGAAACAGCTCGGCCGCCACAGGTCCTCCTTCCTAACTCCACCAGCCAGCTGACGCTCTCTCTTTCACCCTTCCTCTTGGTTCTGCGTTTTTCTTATGCTTCTTTCTTTAAAAGTTCACTGTTCTCTAATGCTCCTTTTCCTCTGAACATCTCTCTTCTTTTTTAACCTACCAACAAAGTGCTGTCTCTTGCTCCCGTTTAATATAACAGCTTAAGCTTGCTTGTCTGCACTTGTTTAAACAGATTCTGTTTACACATTCGATCTATCATCTGATTTCACACTCCTCTGGGCTTGTGTATGTGCCACGACGAGTGATGCTTGTACAAAGCTAATATTCAGTGCTGAAGAAGAGCAGATGATGACTGTTAGAAGCTATTATCAACTCCTTACGCCAAATGTATAAATAAATAAAAAATTTAAACTTAAAAAATAAAAATCAAGCAAGTTCAGTTTCACATGCTGAAAGTCGATGGTAATATTAAGTATTATTTAAAATTAAAACATAATTATTATTTTTTTTAAATATATGTACTATTAATATAGATATAAAAATATCTTGTAGATATAAAAAGATCTTGTATATATTTTTAATATATACAAAAATATATATAATCTTAAATATATTCATTTCAGATTGTTATATTATCTTTTTTTTTTTTTTTTAGATTCCTGAATAGCATTTGGTCCACACTGTATTTTGTAAATTTTGTGATTAATTGGAAAAGCACTATTTTTTACCTAGTCATATTCTGTAGTTTCAATCCCAAACCTATAGTATATAATTATTTTAATGTATATATACATTTTTTAAAAGTACAATGATTTAATGTATTTAATTTGGTTGATTTATTAATTTAACATTGATTGTTAAAATTATTATTACCAGTATTATTATTAAATAGCATTTGGTCACATTTTATTTGGTAAATTTCGTGCTTGTTTCTGTGCTGAGCTCCAGGCTTCATATGCTCTATAAAGGCCCCTGTGCTGGAGCTCAGATCATATCCAAGCCGTTCATTCATTTGCTATGACAGCTCCGCAGCAGGAGAGCTACTGGAGAGCCAGATCCGAAGGGCACAGCTGCATTAGATGTGGGGCGTTGGCCATTCCAGAGATATTATTCTCTGGCCAAAGACAAACGGCTAGACTTGTTCTTTTGAACCTTACACACTCATCTAATCGTTCTCAAATCATCAGCATGCTTTTTTAATCCCCATTAGTTAAAGAGGATTCCAGTTATGGTCTCAACAGATCAGGGTCGTCCAATGGAAGTCCGAGGGAATGAGTCAGGCCGGAAAGGTTGACAGAGTTAAGGAAGGGGAAGCAGGGCCTTTGAAGTGCTGAGTGAGAAAGTTGTCCTTCCTCTTCTCATAAAACATGGCAGACAGACTAATGCCTAAGCTTTAGGGATACTTAAGAGTCAGCTTCAAGGGAATCAGGACAGGCCCTGCCACGCAAATCCATTCTCCTGCTCTTTCCACAGAGCCGAGATGAAGGAGCTCAAAGTGCCAAACACTGCTGACGCTATCATGAGAGGAAATTATGAATATTTATCCAACTGGTCCTCTGGAGGTCTGGGCTATAAGTTTCAGTGATGATTATTTTCAGGGCTTTGAGGGCGCATTTTTGATTTGTTAGAGAAGCAGATGGAAAAACGAAGCTGAGGGAACCGGCGAGGCGTTTAAGCTAATGCTTGTTCGACAAACAAAGCTTATTGAGCTTTGCTGCTTATTAGGACAAAGCTTTGGTAAGATTCTCATAGAATAACCGCTTGTCTGCCTGCAACTCAAGCTGAAATTTTCTGAGAAGCTGAAAGGACGAAGATAAAAGACACTAAACGTACAAATGAACATGTGGGGTTCGCACATAGTTCGACCAAATTATACACCGTAGTACCTGCTTCTCATTGGCAGTAACAGGGTATTGGTCCTTGAGTTCAGCCATGACAAAGCACTGGTAGTGTTGGTTGTTAGGAAGGGGACGGTTGTAGAAGCCGTTGTACGTCTTTTCGTCTCCCAAGGTGAAGGTGTCTGGGAGGGAGGTCAGCTTTGCGGCAATGTACGGCCTAACAGTGTCCGTGTGACGTCGTCTCCTGAGCAGCGCTCCCTCACTAGACTCCAAGAGCTGAGGAAGAGATCAGAAAGAGATGAATTAGTGCAGGACAACAGACATAGACAGTGTTATGTGGAAAAGTAATGCTTAGTTTGTCAATAACTTTCATTTGAATTGCCTGTAAATATAAAAGTATTTATTATACAGAAACTGTACAAATTATTAAATGCTCTATTATTAATATATTTACAGGGGTATAAGCCAGCAACAACAAAAACAAACTTTCAGTCTTTTAACCAATGAACTTTAATGACTCCCTTCCTAAAACGCAAAAAATAGCTATATATAGTCATGTATACAGACACATTTATACTAAGAAAAATATTATAAACGTGTATGAAATAATATGGGATGTATTACCTTTTATATTTAACTGGAAACTGGACTATCTTTAGCAATAAATCAGCATTTTAGAATGATTTCTGAATGACCATGTGACACTGAAGACTGGAGGAATGTTTGCTGACAATTCAGCTTTCCCATCACAGTAATAAATTACTATTTTCAAAAGGTTTACAGGCCTAGAAATCACATTTTTAAAATTCCCTGATATTCCCAGGTTTTCCATTACCCTGGTAATTCTGCTAATAGTAAAAAAAAACTAAACAGGAATGACTCACCTCATCCAGCTCCATCTCGTCAGGATTAACCCACTTACGAGATGATGTAAGAGACACGGGCATGACCACAATGTAGTACCACCTGTACAGAAAACAACGATATTAGCATATACACCTTTACGACTCTCGACTGCACTACAGCAGCTTGAACAAGCGTCACTATTTACTGTATACCAGAAAAGGTTGTAGATTTTAGCTGGTGGGAATTGAAAGCGGCCCATTCCAGGTGTGTGAGTGTGTAGAAAAACTGATGACTTGCTTTCTGGGTAATAGCTCCAGTTAATCATCTCAACGCTACTAGTTTTAAATAATCAGCTCTATCTTTCAGAGCGTGAGTGAATGGAACACTCAAAATGAGCTGTCAGGTGGTCCGGACAAGCATAACTTTAGGAGAGTGGCATTCAGCTGCTCATAATAAGACTGGGGCCGAGGCTTTAATTTGGCTGGTGTCTGATATGAGAGGCATTTTCAAAATCAGCTCCAAGAAAAACTCTCTCGGTGCTTCAGAGCTCCGCCATTACTGGAGAACGAAGCGCTGTATCTGACACGAAATCCCACATTAATCAGCGCTACTCCAAATGCCAATCTTCTCCAAGACTTTCTCATCCTCAACACTCTGGTAATCTTTTTACCAATCAAAAAGGCACTCTGGAGCACAGCCCTGTTCTCCTCCTGGGATTGGCAACAAGCTTTTTTTTTTTTTGACCACAGTGCACCAGCTCTGATTTTGTCAAAGGCCAAGACGTCAGAGAAGAAATCTCCCAGCTTGCGGTTCAGTCGCAAATTAGTTAATTTTTTTTAGGGAACGTAATTGGCTGTGGAAAATCGTGACTCAAAAACAACATGTTCCTCTCAAAGGACAAAAACAATCTCCACTTTTCTTCCATTACCTCCTCATTCATGAAAAATTAAGTGTTGAAAATTACATATAAACATAAGTGGCCTTTCTCATGCATAAATTATGATGACATTTAAGTGGTACGATAACGGAAGGGCCTCCACCCATCACCAGGAGCTCCTGTGAAGAGCACTCAGCCGTAATGATGGGCTCTCTGTGGCAAGAACATCAGAAACAGAGCAGCGTGTCTGCTTTCTACGATGTGTTCATATCCTCCATCACGACAGGCTGCACTCTAAGTGGGCTCAAACCAAGACTTTCACATATATCTTCCCTTCAGCTAAGATAGAAAACAGCCTGTCTGCCGGCACATTCTCCGCTATTGATTTCTATACGTTCCATCACGACTCATTCTTCAGCGCACAGCTTGTTGGAGAATGAAGTGAAAACATGCCGATGTCACTTGAGCCTGACAAGGACCTTCTGGTGGTTGGAAAAATCTGGCACTTTTCAGGAGAAGGTAAAATGTAAAGCTGAATACAGTAGGATGACGTTACTTTGGGTTTAAAAAGCAGCTGGAATCTGCAGCGTTGGCAGGATGGCTGTTTGCTGAGGTGGGGAGATTCTGTCTGAGCGTTTAGTTGGGGGGGGGG